GGGGAGGACAGTAGGTCCCCCCCCCTTATTGTTTTATTAGGGCCCCCACCCACCTCTCAGGGGTGGGGGCCAGGGGGGGAGGACAGTATGTCCCCCCCTTATTGTTTTATTAGGGCCCCCACCCACCGCGCAGGGGTGGGGGCCAGGGGGGAGGACAGTAGGTCCCCCCCTATTGTTTTATTAGGGCCCCCACCCATCGCGCAGGGGTGGGGGCCAGGGGGTGGACAGAAGTTCCCCCCCCATATCTTTATTTAGGGCCCCCACCCACCGCTCAGGGGTGGGGGCCGGGGGGGAGGACAGTAGGTCCCTCCCCCTTATTGTTTTATTAGGGCCCCCACCCACCTCTCAGGGGTGGGGGCCAGGGGGGGAGGACAGTATGTCCCCCCCTTATTGTTTTATTAGGGCCCCCACCCACCGCGCAGGGGTGGGGGCCAGGGGGGAGGAGAGTAGGTCCCCCCCCTATTGTTTTATTAGGGCCCCCACCCATCGCGCAGGGGTGGGGGCCAGGGGGGGGACAGAAGTTACCCCCCCATATCTTTATTTAGGGCCCCCACCCACCGCTCAGGGGTGGGGGCCAGGGGGGGACAGTAGGTCCCCCCATCTTTATTTAGGGCCCCCACGGGCATGGGGGGGTATTAGTTTTTTTTTTTTGTTTGTTTTTTTACAGTGAGCAGCTATATGCTGCTCACTGCTTACTACACATGCCCCTACTCGCGATATAGCGAGTAGGGGCATTTAATTTACTAATACTAAGTAATCTTTACTTAGTATTAGTAAGTGTGGCTGAAAGACCAATTTAGGTCTTTCAGCCTTTTAGTAGATAGCTCCCTGATACCGTGGGAATTAGGGAGTTATCTACTAAGCGGCTGCAAGATGCAGCCACAGCAATGAATAGGATCGGAGTTTCATTCATTAGAATGAAACTCCGATCCGAATAAAGTGCCGAATTGCGTTCTAAAAGAAACGAACATACTGTTCTCATTCAGTTAGAACGCAATTCAGCAGTTTTGTGTAAAGTGACAGGAAGCATCGTGGGAACACAGAGGGAAGGTGAGAATCATGGGAAAATTGCTCAGACCAGCGGAAATGAAGCACACTTTGCTCCTCCGCTGGTCAGAGCTGGTCAAGCGGAGGAATCCTCCATAAGGCAAAGAGTCCCTACTTTGTCTTATGATTTTAAAGAAAACTAAAGAAGACAGGAAGAAAAGAATAACAGATCCTGAGAGAGGGGGAGAAGAGGAAGAGATTGAGGAAAGGTAAGTTCGGCATGACAGTGCCGCTTTAAGTGGTGCAAGAAAGGAGTGAAGTGGTGTCAGGGTCCTGTGAGCCCAATGTTTATTGATGCACATTTGGAGCGAAGGCTAGCCCGTCTTGTCTGATCACACAGAAGAGCTACTGTAGCTCAAATTGCCGAAAAACTGGAAAGGTGTCAGGTTTATGGCGCTGCTTAGCTGTAGACAGGCCAGAGCGCCCATAATGACCCCTGTCCACCACCGAAAGTGCCTCCAGTGGGTACATGAGCATCAGCACTGGACCATGGAGCAATGGAAAAAGGTTGCCTGGTCTTGCGAATCATGTTTTCTTTTAGATCAGAATGGAAGGCGTGAGTTTGTGTGTGTGCGTTCTGTACATGGTGAAGATATGTCAGCAGGATGCACTATGGGAAGATGGCAGACCACTGGAGGCAGTGTTATGCTCTGGGGAGTGGCCTGCTGGTTAACCTTGGATCCTAACATTCATGTGGATGTTACTTTGATACATACCACCTCCCTAGACTTTCTTGCAGATCGCATACACCACTTCATGGGAATGATGTTCCCTGATTGCAGTGGCCTCTTTCAGCAGGATAAGGCACTCTACCATGCTGCAAAAATTGTTCAGGAATTGTTTGAGGAACATGACCTTCCTAATTCCCCAGTTTGCAATCTGATTTAGCATCTGTGGGATGAATCTAATGTCTTGATGCCTGATACCACAGGACACATTTAGAGGTCTTGTGGAGTCCACGCCTCGACTCATCAGAGCTATTTTGGAGGGTGACCTACATGATATTAGGCAGGTGGTCAAGCATGTGTTGTGGCTGATCAGTGTGTTATATATATATATATATATATATATATATAACGGTACATACATCTTCATAGAGGCTTAAAGCCATTTAGTGTCCATGTCACGCCGAGTGTGATCTACTGATTTCGTGTTTGATATGCTACAATGTCATCTTTCAAACTACACCATTGTTGAATCTCTGAAGAACCTTCTATTGGATGCAAATGTTGCAGAATTGCAGCACTGCTTTCCTATGGGAATTTGACTGACGCTGGATGTCCTTATGCAGAGGATGAGAATGTCCAGCATTAGTTAGGTGACCAGGAAGTGCCTCTAGTGGCTGTCTGATTGACAGTCACTAGAGGTAGACTTAACTCTGCAAGGTAATCATTGCAGTTTCTCAGACACTGCAATAATTAACATTGCAGTTTTAAGGGGACAGGTTCACAGCACCCAGACTACTTCAATGAGCTAAGTATTTGGTAGTTATAGTGTCCCTTTAATGGGACTAGTTTCATTCTCTTTTTAAAATATAACCTTTTTTTACTTAGCTATCTATATAAACCTAACTCAGCTGCAAATGTTTTCATGTGAGTGTTCTCAAATTTCCCCGAACATAGACAAGCGCAGCAGAGCAGGAAATCCCTCAAATCTATGTTTGGGGAATGTTCCCGAACATAGATTAGATGGATTCCCTGCTCTGGTATGTTTTTCTCTGTTCGGGGAAATTTTCCCTGAAAATAGATTAAAGGGATTTCCTGCTCTGGTGCGCTTGTCTGTGTTCGGGGAAATGTACCCGAACGTAGACATGCACACCAAAGCAGGGAATCCCTCTAATCTATGTTCAGGGAATATTCCACAAACATAGACCAGCTCTCTAACATGGGGAATCCCTTGAATCCCCATGCTAGAAAGCTGGTTGTAAGTGCGAGCTGTCGTAAAACAGGTAGGTCATAAAAAGTGAGGACCACCTGTATATCGAATTGGCCAGCTGGATGTTTGACCCCACTGGCCATAGAATTCAGGTCAGAAAATTAACAATTTTAGGCAAGAAATCTCACAAGCGATCTGCTAAACGAGTTATGGAATTAAGATTTCTAGGCTTGTTTATGAGGCTGATTTTGCTCTGTCTGGGAAATATATTTCTCTGTCAGGGATTTTCACTGGTAATAAGTGAGTCACATGCTGGCATAAAATACAGCATCACCCCAAAAAAACAAAAGTCAAATAAGCTAATGACACCTATGAATTTAACACACCATGCAACCATAGTGAATTGGTTCAGTAAATATTATACTGATTAAAACTGATTTCACTTCTAAAAAGCAGGCCAAGGTCCACAAAATTGCCCAAACCACGTTCATCTGCACCCAAACTGAGATTCACGCAGGTATAGCAACTAGGTAACATCGACTTGTAAGGCAGGAAAAAAACAAAAAGTTCGTTTATCTCCCTGGGAACAACTGTCCACTGCATGTTCCTCTGGAAGTGCTGCAGTCAGGGCTAGATTAACATAGGGTTATTGAAGCAACAGCTTCAGGCCAATCTTTTAAATAGTCCCCCAAAGGGGGGTTACTACTAACTTCAGATCTCAGCTTTTACTGTGCATTTATGTTATATATGCAGCTTCAAATATGTGACACAATCACATGGGAGTGAGAATCCAGAGGTCACGCGGACCAGTTGTAGTTGCTCTATATGTCATACATGTAGTCCATACCTTCTATGACAATGGAAATGTAAATTCAAATTGCTCATCAGAGTCATACATTTATTTTCAGCACTGTCTGTGGTCCCACTAGGTCATTGGCTTGTGTGTCATCTTCCGAACAAAGAATTCAGCAGTGCTGGACTTCATCCTTGACCTTTGAGGCATGCTCGATATAATTTGAGGTGAAATGTCATAGGGTCATCTTACAAGTAGTGACAAGAACACAGGTAATGTAGAGCAGTGCATCCACATGATACTCGATTGCACCCCTTTTTACACTGTGCAATAGTAAGTTTCTCCCTCTCCTCCTTTACTGCCTGCTTTATCTACTAGTTATAGTCATTTACAGCGCTGTACTCAGCAAATAAGGAATGATCTTAAATATACATGTTACTTATACTTTAACTACTCCAATAATGTGCTCAGCATAATTTAAACAACTGAACAGTTAACCCCTCCAGTGTGCTATACTCAGTAGTCTGCCTATATTTTCTGTTAGCCCCTCCAGTGTTGTACTCAGCAGACTGTTTCCAACTGTACAGTTACCTGCAGAGTTGTTTGATTTAAATTTCATAATTTCCATTGTAACGTAAAGAATGTAAAATGCTTTAAGTTAACTATACTTATAATAAGCTAATACGGCAGAAAATAAACTAAACAGGCCAACAAACAGATTAGTGGATAAAACTTGCAGATGGTATCCTGGACTCTAGTTTCTGAAAAGATGGTTGCCAGTGCCTTCTGATGCATGGGAAAAAATTTAATCAATTTTGTGACAATACAAATTCCCTCATAAAACTTGACTGATAGCAAGAAGCAGAAAAAGGCAAGGTCTGAACAGGACACAAGACTCTGTGCCACAGAATAATTAAGGTAAAAAAATATTTGGGGGCATTTTATGTAAATACCAATTGCCAGTGGGAAAAACTTAAGAGCAAAATGCAAATATTGTGATAAAGAGCTCCAGGACCATGTGCTGTGTGTTTGTTGATAAATGTCCAAACAACTGTATATAATTCTGGTGTCAACACTTGACCCAAGAATGACTCCAACCTTTGACTCAGATTTGACCTGAAGCTGATGCCCTACCCATGATTACTTCATCTCCCCATGATAATGTTCCTTTCATGGCTATACTGCTAACAGCAAGCAGGAATATCACTGCATAAATGTGCTCTTTCCATTGAGATATTACCAGTGAAAACTCCCAAGAGAACTTATATTTATTGAAGCATGGATTCACTCTTCTATCAATGCCCAGGGCAATTGCTTTTGGCACTGCTTCCAGCATCAGTACATAGCTCCCTCGCCGCATCTGATAGGTAGACAGGCTCCTGCCTCACTGCAGCCCCACTGGACCCCAGGGACCCATCCATGGCAGCTTTCCCAAAAAGTAGGGAGGCTGGGTGGGTGGGTGGGAAATGTTAATTCTAAGAATATTTATAATTTGTATATATGTCGGTTTGTGTATGTATGTGTATGTCTGTTAGTGTGTGTGTGTGTGTGTATGTCTGTTAGTGTATGTATGTGTGTGTATGTCTGTTAGCGTATGTGTGTCTGTTAGTGTATGCGTGTCTGTTAGTGTATGTGTGTGTTTGTGTCAGTGTGTGTATGAGTGTATTTACATCTGTTAGCGTATGCACGTGTGTGTATATGAGTATGTGCTTCTGTTAGTGTATGTATGTGTATGTTTTTGTGTATGTGTTTCTGTTAGTGTATGCATGTTTATGTTTGTGTCTCTCGAATCAGTGAGAGTCTGTTTGTCATTTAGTGTGTGTGTGTGACTATTAGTGTGTGTCTACCAGTGTGTTTGTGTGTGTCTCTCTGTCAATGAATGAGTGTGTGTCAGTGAATGTGTGTGTGTGTCAAATCAGTGACTTCTGTGTGTTTGTGTGTTTGTCATTGAGTGTGTTACAGTCAGTGTGTATCTGCCAGTGTATGTCATTGAATGCGTATGTGTCTGTCAGAGAGTGTGCTTAAAGGGACATACATTTTAGACAACTTCAGCTCATTGCAGTGGTCTGGGTGCAGTGTCCCAGTCCCCTTAAACCTGCAAGTGATATTATTGCAGTTTCTCAGAAACTGCAATAATTACCTTAAGGGGTAACTCCACCTGTAGTGGCTATCAGACAGCCACTATGTTAACTTTTGGGTGGTTAGGTGGCCAAAAGTTGCCTAACTGATGCTGGATGTCCTCACGCTGTGCATGAGGACATCCAGCATTTGCTAAATA